GGCTCCCCACCTTCCTTCCAAAAAGGAAAACAAGGAAGCACCCCGAACTCCCAGCAGCAACCGCCCTTCCCCACCCATCTGCTTCGCTGGAGTCCCCCCAGCTCAGCTGGGGCTTCCGGGTTGTGCTGCTGCGCAAAGAACCTGCCTCGGCGTGAAGTCGAGCGTGGGACCCTTGACGGGGGCTAACCACCAGGCGAAACCTGTCCCGAGAACCCGGCCAACGGGTTTGGTGGCGGGGATAGCAAAGCCTTCCCTGCAAGTGGGGTGGGCCAAAGGGGGGTTTCATGAATGGCACAGCTGAAGTGGGATCCTCAGCTCCAGCCTTTTAAAGGCAAGATGGGATGTAAAAGGTAAAACAAGAAATATGCAGTCCTGAATGCGATCCAGGAAACTAGGTGAAGCTGGAGGCCTCCGTCTGTGGGCGGTTAAGACACTCAGGAACTGCAAGTCTCAGGAATGCCATCAACAAAGGAGCCAAAATCTGGGCGGAAGCAGGAGCTGAAGGACACCTCCCAGAACAGGCTGGTTGTCAGGCCTGGCCCAAGAAGCACAGGGAGAATCCAACCATATTCAGTTATCTTATTGCTTACGCCACATAGACAGAACCTTGCCAGACTAAATCTGTACTATGTTAACCTAATAGATATACTCTGGGAGAATCTAGGGCGGGGCTATCTTAAGTCTCTTCTTCCCACGCTCCTGCTCTGGACTGTGTTGTCTCTTGTCCCACCCTCCTTCCCGGGAACCTAGATCTCCATGCATTCCATCAAAGGGTTGACCCACAGAGCAGACTAGGCACCAAAAGCTGCCCCCCCACGTTCCCACTGGTAGAACTGGGGTTGGGGGGGCAGGAGCTGATCATAAGAGAACAGCTGTGACTTCCTCTCAAGATTCCCTGGTCCTTGACAGGGAATCAGGAGATACCAGGCCCTTCATCTCAGTGCTCTACCCAGGACAGCAGTAAGAGCAGGGTGGAGGGGGGCACGTTCCTGGGCCAACATTCTGGTCTGGTTGCCCATCAGCCCTCAAAGGTAGGCCACATGAACTTCTGGAATGCTACTTTATTGTTACAGGGTATAATAACAGAATCTTGAAAGCCTGGCAGCTCTTATAATGAAGAGAGCCAAGGCAGGGTCATCTCGAGTTTCTTCCTCACCTGCTCCTCTCTTTCGTGGCTAAGATGATGCTTGCATAAGCTGCCACATACCTTTTTCAAGGCCATCCCCTCCCTGCCTCCTTCGACTGCTCCAAGAAGTGGCAGGAACGCTGGCAGTGCCAGTAGGTGGCAATGAGGTGGCAATTTTAAGGGGCCATGCCAGGGAAGACCTCTCACTGGAACGATCTAGGGACTAAAGGGAGAAGGGGCCAAGAGGAAAGCCAGCTCACCTTCACTCCAGGATCCCTGCTGGTCCCAAAATGGGCCACAATGAGGTCCACAGACATGTTGATTGCTTTGACAAGACCTGGTGGACGGAAGAGGAGAGGAAAGGAGGCTGAGCTTGCTGCACAGATGAGCAGACCCCTTGTGCCCCCACCCCGCTCCAGCCAGGAGCTCTGGAAGGGCCTGTCCTGGCTCCAACCATTCCTGAATGCCCCTCCTCCTGGTTCTGGAGAAGATCTGCTTGCGCATCAAGCCAACCCCATGCTCTCTCTCTCGAGTCTTAAGGGTGGTGGCCGAAAATTTAGGGAGTGCAGACCAGCTGCAGGAGACCCGGGGGACCCCCATATCCCTTTCCAAAGTGGATCCTGGGAGAAGACCTCCACCCCTCCCTGCAGGGAACGTCACAGATACGGGCCACTTGCCACAGCGGCAGAAGACTTTGAGAGCTACTTGTCGGTCCCACACATGAACACACCCCTCCATGCCTACCAGCCACGTGTCTCCACTGGGGACGTATTTATGTGGGGCTTAAATTAGGAAACAGCTGGGAGGGGTTAGAGCCTCCTCTCCCAACCGCACCTGGTTCCTGTCCTGCCCGAAGGGCCCCATCCTTCTAGGCCCCCTCAAGAGACTGCCCTGCTCCAGGCAATGGCCGCAACCCCCTTCACTCCTTTGGTGCTTGGCCAGCGGCCCAAAGAGCGCCCAGCTGCCCCGGGTATCCGGTTAGAGGACGCCACGGCATCAGCCCCTTGCAAGGGTGGCCGAGCCTTCCTGCGCCTTCTTCCCCGCCATCCCTCCTCCTCCTCTGCAAGCAGCAGCTGTTTGAACCGGGAGGCTCTCTGCGTGAGGAGCCAGCCCCCCTTAACGCGTCCTCCTGAGGATCGGAGGGCTTAGCTGGGACAGTAAGAAACCTTGGAATGGGCCGAGGCAGCGGGGCTTGTCAAAGGGGACGGGGGGGGGGGATTGGTCCTGGGCACAGAACAGCCCTGCTCCCAATCTGTCCTGGCAACAGGGCTCAACTGGGGGACACCCCCCACTTTTATTCCTCCCCCCCAAGCCACATCTTGCTCATTCCATGGAAATACCAGGAGAACAAATTAGGAGGAGGGACTGTCTTTAGGGGTGCAAAGGCCCTGGGAAAGAGCAGCCCCTCCAAATAATGTGGAGGGCCTTCTTCCTTCCTCATCCCCCTCCCCAGACTTACCCTTCTTCTGCAGCAGATCGACGGAGACGGACTCCGCACTGCCATCGGGGGAAAGGCAGAATTCAGCCGGCGGTTTCTCAGCCAAGGAGAAATAGTCGGGGAAGAGGTCTGGGCCGCTGGGTTGTGGTTGCTTCACCGCCGGCCCTGCAAGGCATCAGGGAGGGGAGGCCATGTCACACCCGGGTTACGCTGTTTATTGGACTCCAGAAAGACTCTGGGCAGTTTAGAGCATTGAAAAGAACATGCAATCGAGAGAAACATCGAAGCCACACCAATCACACCCCAAAAAGGTTTGCCAGGGGCTCCACAGACCCCCCAGCCCCAGGCTTGGGAGCACAGCAAATGGAGGGCAGGGGACACTGTCTCCAGCCAGGGCCCCCAGAGGACAGCAGAAGGAAAGCCTCTTGTGGGGAGGGGACTGGGCAGAGAGGGGCACCACTCTCCCTCCTGAGTCCCTGGCCAGACAGCTTGGGCAGGAAGAGCCTCCCTCGGCGACTTGGGGTTCAGTTCAGCCTTCGCTGCCCCCTCCCACCAGGGCTTTCCCCACCACTCCAGCCTTAAAAGAGGAGCAGGAGAAAGAGTTGCATGAGACCCAGGCAGAACAGCTGGCATCTCCAGAAGCTTAAGGCTTCAGAAAAGACAAGGAACGACCGAGTTTCCGCTGCGAAAGTGTAACATTTGGGATGATGGCCAAGTTAGGCATGAAAAGGCCATGGCAGGCAGAGGAGGGTTCCTTCTCTGCTGTCCCCCATCCCAAGGTGGCCAGGTGTCCTTGCAGCTTCCAAGAATGCCCACCCTCCTAGGATGCCCGGTCCTACGACCTGCTGGGCTTGCCAGCACCAAAA